TCTATTCAAGATTTGCTTCTGCTCGTGTAGCGATTTCTCATATATGATTTTTTGGATCTTGATCTTAACTACTGGATTTGAGGAAAAATGAGTTGTGAACTTGATGTCTAAATTTCATGATGATCGGACCATAGGGATGCTGAGGTATTAATGTTCGATTACAGCTAGACAGACTATCAAAATTCTACGAATTCTATACTTGTTGATCTCATAGTTTTTCTCTATTTTTGGGTGAGCTCATTCATGCTGATAACATATAAAACTTAATGTTTTAAAAAGAGCATCTAGGCAGCTTATGTGAGGCATGAACAAAATGTTTTGTTTTGGCAGTAAGCGCGAATTAAACGGTCAACCGCGCTCCTTGAGGTGCTTTTATTAATTTTTTTTTCCTTTTTTTGAAAATCTTGTATTTGACTTTAGTTTATTAACTCTTTTATTTTTTTATTTTCTTTCTTTCTTTGGAAATCTTTTAATTTGGCTTTAGTTTCAACTTTTTGAATGACGATATCTGTACTAAAAAAATTATCTGATAAAGGTTTAGATAAGATTTAAGTTACGGTGCTTCCTATATCATGTAATTATGATTTTTAGGATCATCATGTTGTTGAAAATTTTGAAATTATGTATAAAGTTTCTATAAATCTGTTACATAGAACTTGTTATTTGAAAGTTGAAATTATGAAAAATAGTCTAGCTTTTGCATTTTAAAAAATTGAAAATTGTATAATTAATTAATTTTAATAATTATAGTATTTTATAATTTTAGATGTTTGATATGTATTATTGTAATTATTAAATAATTTTTAGAATGATTAGGTATTTAAAATAATAATAAAAATAAGTAACACTTTTTTCATGTCTAGGCTCATAAAGTTTGAAACTTAACCTACACGTCTAGTCACAATTTATGTTGTTTTAAAAATATTGATGAAACTATTGATATGGACAAAAATAAAGATTATGAGAGAAAAGTATAGTGTTCTAATATATGATTTTCCAAAAAAAAAATTATAGGCGTGAATGGAATTGGACAATAATACGAATGAAATGATAAATCACAAATTTTCTTCTTTGGTATACTAATATATTATATCATATTAGCATTATTTGAATTGCGTTTGGTGGGATGGCTTGTTGTGAAACCATAACACATCATACGTTTTTGATGCAAAAAGATGAGAGACAAAACAATAATACAGAACTACAAACTATTGATTCGCACATAAATACTGATAAAATCAAAATTTTGAAGAAACTCTCCAATGTTTTATTAATATTGTTGATGTAAATCCCCTAAGCTCTATAAACAAGGTAGGTTTAAAATTATGTTAGAAAGTACCTAAGCTCTTTTCAAACGAAGTTTCAACACTTGTATGTTGTAGCTCTAATAATGCATGAATTCTTGTCCATGATGTGTCAAAATTGTATTGGAAAGAACCTAAATGCCTTTTAAGTTTTGCATGTGCATATTCAGCCCTACCATGAAAAATAAATCAGATTCACTGTACATTAGCACATTCAATAATGCAAATAGCAATTTAAGAATGCCAATAGCAATTTACATAGAGTTGTCGTGTTTCCAGATTAATCCAAGCTGCCACAAACTTTTCTTTATATTGAAGAAGCCATGAATTCATTACATAATCGATTGCTTGTGAAAACTGTTGAAAATTGGATTCTAAAAGACTTAGATTTTGCATGTACTCTTCTATAGATGTTGAAAGCACTAACAAATTCCACATATGCATAAAAGCATCCCATTGGTTCTTGTGATTGTCAACATATTTTTTGGTTTTTACCAACACATTCTTTGAAAATATTTTTTCAATGACCTTCATAAGAGCTAGCTCTCTATCAGTAACAATAACATTAGGTATATTATATCATTCATTAGACTCTTCAACCCCCTAAAGCCCATGCGTAGTTTTCCTTACATTCTTTCCCCAAGTATGCAAAATAGATCAAAAATGTTAAATTAGTAGTCGTGCCTACTATTTCCAACAACTGTAGGCAATACATATTTGTCTTATACGTGCAATTCATAATTATCACAAGAGGAAAAGCCGACAACAAATTTACTGAATATGGATGTGCCTAGAACAAATCTTGAACTATATTTGTCTCCATAAAGCTGCAGTGCCACTCTATGTACTTATTCTCAACAAGCCTATTCATTACTTGTTGCATTTGTGTCCTTCTAGCTTGTTCTTTGAGCCTAAACTTCTAATGTGCATTGTAGACGTGACTCAATGTGCTTAAATTTGTGTCATCATTTTGTTTTAATGTGTATAAGATTTCCTTTGGTCTGTGCTGAAATTTGTGTCATCATTTTGTTTTAATGTGTATAAGATTTCCTTTGGTCTTACATGTTTCTTTGACATGTTTACTAAAATTGATGTCGCTTTCTCAATTAATCTCCTAGCATATGAACGTCCTTCAAAGTTCTGGGCAATGTCATGATTATGTCTTCCATTCAAAACGAATGGGCATCCCCACTCTTTTGTTTCAGTAGCTCTACGTCTCTTTCCTTTTTCATTTTCTTTGTTAGTATTCCTACACCTATACAAACCATATATTTCATATGTAAAATCAATTCTTGGTTTTCTCCCAACTTGGCCGAAGTCGGAGTTTTTCATAACAACAAAAATCTTATGTCTCTTACTAAAGTTTTAACCCAATCAATCAAGGCTTCTTTACTTGTAAACATCTATTTATCATCAAATATTTGTATATAAATATATGCTCCTATTAAAAAAAATAAAATCATTAGGTACTATGTTTATCGTAAACATATCTGTATAATCAACAAATAACTCATTCTTGAATTCATAGTTATGGGTTGATATATCCTACATTAATAGTAAAGTTTCAAATAATGTCATTGCAATAAATTTAACTATAAAATAAAATAACAAAGTATGGGAAATAGCAGACGAAGTGGAACTTCTCTAAAAACTTTTGGGAAAAAAAAAACCACTAGAATTGCGAGCAAAAAAATAAAAAAAAAATAAAAAAAAAAACTATTTGTGAAGAACTGTGAAGAAAAAGAGGCAATTTGCAAATCCATAACATGTCATGATCAAGAAAATCTTCCCATTTTATTTTTTTTCAATCTTGGCTGTACTTCGTCACAGAATTCCACACGATGAAATTCTAACATTGTAACAATTATTCAAAACTCCATCCAAATCTTAGCTATTAATAGTAGACCACCTACCCAAATTTGAATCAGCATTTTGACGCTTCTCTTTCATAGTAATTTCCAAATGTAATAAAAGCCAATGTTAGCAAACCATCATTCAAAATTTACTAATATTTTACCAAAACATCCATTTTGAGGACGTAATTGATGAGTTCAAATTTTAAATATGGTCCTAACCCACATCATATAGTCACATTCTTAAGACATGTTGTATATTTGCTATGGTCCCTAAAACCAATATAAAAAAAATATCTAACTCATTAACGTCTTAATGCGTTAGGGAAAAAAATTGAACAACAAAATATGATAAAAAGGTAATCCTTACTTTTTCGAATTTCTCTTCATATATTGCTATGTCTGTATATTTTTCCTCTAACAACGTCTCTTTCATTATTCACTAAATTCTTTGTCTATTGAAATTCTGAGTATTACAATGCTTCTAACAACAAAGGCTAAAAAAAGAAAGAAGAAGAAAGTTCAATTAAGCAAATTGAATTTTACCAACTTTGTATGCTGAAGTTATTAAAGACCTCTAATTTGAGAACTTTTGACTAATATTTCAAAACTTTAGCCACCATGGAAATTCCATAGATCTTCTCTTAAAACATTACTACTGCCTTTTAGCTAATCTTCATTAATGTACGTGAATTTGGGGCCACCCATCACCTATAATTATATTCATGTAATTTGTCTTAATCTATTTGGATTCTAATTAAACACAAATTCTAAAATGATAAAAAATGATTTAGGATAATTTAATGAATTATTTAATTCTGATTATGTCTATTTAAGTAAATTTACTTAGGATTTAAAATATAATAAAAATTTATTTTTAAAAGTGGATGTAATATATAAAAAGTGTGGATGGAAACGGCGGTACCCTTCTTCAATCTCCACTCTAAATCATTCTAACCCGTCATTATCACCATCTAGATTTAGCACAACATTAAATTGAAGAATCTCAGTATAAAATCCTCTTTGTAAGTAACATTCGCCATACATTATTCTTCAAAATGATGTTAACCCGAAGTTTAGATGAAAATCGAAGAGATAAAAAGAAAGGAAAAAGGAAGAAAAAAAGTTGAAGATTCATCTTCACCCAAGAGAATGAAGAAGTTTGCATCCAACATAAATTCCTTGAAGAATGTGAAATCCCTAATCTACAATTGAATTTTATTATTATTATTATTATTATTATTATTATTATTATTATTATTATTATTTATTTTTATTTTTTAGGTGCAAATGCTATTCATGTGCTGATGTATCTGATTAACTTTATCAGCAAAGAGTTTTGCTAAACATGATTAATAAAGTTAAGACTAAATTTTTTCATCTGGGAAAATATTAACAATGTGAATCCTATCAATTCCAACACGTTCATTATGACAAAAATTTAGCTTTCTAACACTGATGGTAGCGAGAAAACAGAAAAATAAAATTACAAACGAATTTGTGCTTGCACATAGATTCCATCTTTATTAGATTCGTAGATTAGATGAAGTGAGAGTATATTTAGTACACAATCCGACAGAATTTATTACCTGAACGGATACATGAACTAATAAATAATAATTTTACGTTATGACTGGTGAGGCTTTTTTCCTGGGAAAGATGATTAATATGGCTAGAACGTGTTTTGCATAGTATTTATAGCATTGAATTGAATAAAGAAAAAAAGTTCATCTAGCTAATTAGCATCCTCGACTCTCAAATTCTCAACTCTGTTGTGAAACAATTTTTATTTTTATATTTTTAACTCTATCTGGATTTTTAGGACTTTGGCAAATAAAAAGCATCTCCACTGGGTTAAAAAGATGGAAAATTCCAAAGCAAACGATAAGATTCATAGTTCCAAGTCTCAATGTACTAGTGTACGAATCCAAAAATTTGAGCAAGCGACACAGAACAATCCAATTATTTGATGGCCTAAAGAGATGCCATAAATCACTACACAAGGACTGACAAAATTTTAAGATACGAAAATTTACAAATAATCATGCTTGCTGTACACTAAAGTGTACAGCATGCATGATAGCCCCCTCACATGAGGGGGTCGCACACTAATCATGGGGCCTCGTCATGTGAGGGAGATGTAAGTCTTGTACAGCACAAGCAAGTTAACCTATCTACAAAAGGTTCGCTTCCGTACTTATTGTAATTCATTATGTGGGGCCCCCTCGTGTGAGGGGATTGTAAGTCTTGTACAGCACAAGCAGGTTAACTCATCTACAAAAGGTTCACTCCTGTACTTATTATAATTCATTACGAGTTATTATAATGGACTATTTTTGAACCTTTTTTTAATTCCTTGATACGGTTGATTATTGTACAGTCCACCTTGGGAAGTGGCAATAGCTGCCTAGTGAGTTGCTGCTGCTACAGCCGTCCCCATCAGCGGACCTCTCAGTGCCCTCAAATTCCTATACTCCATAGGGCCAAAATTGTATAGGAATCTACTCACTATCATCGCGCTTGGCCCCGCCACCAAATTCTCCCACGCCTTGTCGGCTTCTCTGCCTCGTCTTCTGAACACATCGGTGGCATCAATCCGGTGCATTTTCCATCCCTTCACATCTCTAAGTCGATATATTTTCTCCATTTGGCGACACGCCAATTTGCTCGTGTTGAATTTTATCATGTTTATTGCTTCTTCGAGTATTCTAGCACGAGTTTTATCATCAGAAGATGATTCGGCCCGGAAGTAACGATCCAACTCGGGGACACCAATTGCTCTCCTAATTCCTCTCGAATAGTTTGCGTTCAATCTAAACATTTTTCTTACCTCATCCACCATTCCCCTTTCCACCATTCGATCAACTCGATCGGACAAACACGTGTCGAGCATAGGCATCGATACGTCCACCCAGAGGAAGCAACATTCATACTTGGAACGAAATTTATCGTTGTCCTTATCATCAATGAGTGCCTCGATGAATGAATTCGAGCCTCCTACGATGATTGGAAGCCTCCGATTGTTGACTACAGACTTTATAGCAAGGGAAGCCATGTTACAAAAATTTGTTGCTGTGAAATCCATGTTAGGATCTATTTCTCCTATGAGGTGGTGGGGTACCCCACAACACTCTTCTTGAGTAATCTTGTTCGTTGTTATGTCCAGTCCTTCGTACACCTGCATTTTATCTGAATTTACAACCTCAGCCGGAAAAAGGGTGGCTATGTCAATGGAAAGTCGAGATTTTCCAGTCCCTGTGGCTCCCAAGACAACCACCACCTTCTCCTTCGGTGGCTGGCGACAGTGGACTTTCCCAGATTGAGGAATGTGCAGAAAAAATGGGGTTTGTTGGCACATAGATAGTGACATTCTCTTTCTTACCTGATTAAGAATAGAAGAAGAAAAAGTACTTTCAATAAGGCACTAGACAACAAATTGATTTAACAAAACTAGGCCTTTGGCATTCCAAACGAGGCAACTTGAAATTTCGTAGGGACACTTTGGAACAAATTTTGGAGTCAGCTTTTTCTGGCCGTTCAGAATGTTAAAATCTACTTAAAAACGAACAAAAAAAACTTTTGGGTGGCTTCAGTTGTGCCAAATATGATCAAAATTCAATAATTAATTGAAAGATATGAACAAAATCAAAAGATCAAAATAGGGAAATTTTGAGGAAGTGGCATGAGATGAGAGTTATATAAGTTAATATTGAATCCAAAAGTTCTTTTAGCATAGTTGAATGCATGCAACCAAATGAGAAATATTTTGAGTATTTATAGTAAGTTTTTGGAATGCGAAGACAAAAGAGGTCAATTAATCCATCGGGTTCTCTTTGGATTTAATCATTGTCAATACCAAGTTGCTAAATGGTCCTATAAATGGAAGCCATAAAAGGTTAGGTTTTTGTGCTAATCTAGCGACTCCTAAGAATAAAATATGAATCCATATATTTTACCACAAAAAGTTTATGCACTAACGACTTTCCACGGTACAGAAAAGACAATGAGACATATTATGAAACACTCCGTTACAGTTTTTACAAAATACTTTTTTGGAAAATGATTTTTGTCGAGTATTGAGAAATCTTATGATCATAACATATTTTGCACGTAGGATTGAATATGTAATTATGATCCCGTTCAACCCGATATCCATAGAGCCCGCCTCGAATGGGACGAGGATTACTCGTCTAACTGGGTAAACGGGACGAGAACTGGGCTAGGGTCATCGCCCCAAGGCGAGTATGGGATGGGGACTAGGAGGGACATGAAACATGGTCACCGCCCCGTTTAAAGTTAATTTCAAATTTAAATTTTCATCAAATAAAAATAATAGATTTATCACCATTTTTAAAGAGAACATAAGTCATTTTTAACAAATTGGTAAAAGAGTAGTAATATTTACTAAGAACATAAAAAAATAAAATAAATAAAAAGAAAATATAAATGGGGCTGGTATAGGTATAGGGTAAGTTAACAAAAATACCCGACGGAACGGAGATGGGAATGGCCGACCCGACCTATACCCACCCCATTGTCATCCTAGAGAGGAAGGAGTGGGAGAGAGTTTTGATGCTCGATGCGTTATACATGCAATAGGGAATATAATTTAAACGAAGTTGTGCCTTCTTATCAGTTTTTTCTTGTTTTCTTCTTTTGGCTGGGACATGCCACTAATCAACTTTTCATCTAAATTATTGCACATGATAATATAAATAAGTTTTTTTCCTGAAATTTAATAGAGAAGATATCTACCTTGTTAGTTTTCTTAGTACATCTCCACTTCATTATAATGTCAAATGGAAGATTAATTAATCAATTTAATTATAATTTTGCAGCACTTGAGACAATATGGTATTATGCTTTATCACAACAAACACAAAAATCTAAGTTTAAATATCATTACTATTCATTTAAAACTTTTATGCGTCAAATCTTTAATAAAAGTAAATTCAACTCATAAAAAATTAAATAAATTTCTCATTTATATATTAAGAATTCATTTTGTATAATCACTGTATAACAAGTTTATCGAAGGTAATTTTAGGTAATAAAGTGGAATAATATTTTCCTATCTTTTTCCCAACATTTAAAATTTGATAAAAGTTATCCATGGAAAGAATGATTCTAAAATGGCAAGGGAATAATTAAATTAGTCAAATTCTGATTCCCTGGTGCAAGTTGGTGACAAGATTGAACAATAGTTCCTTTGTGGTTGTCACCAACTAAATGGAATTTATTTTTTATTTTTTTTAATCTTTTCCAATCAATTTATAGCATAAGGTGTTGAAAAACAAAAGATTTAAAAGAATGCATGGAAATTTTGTAATCCTCATTTATGAAAATTCTCAACGTGTCAAACTTTTATTAAAAAGATGAAATCGATTTGTACGCAAATTAACACATTAAAGATAAAATTTAAATGAATTCATTATGTGAAGGTTAACGCAATACTTTTAGGATCGTTAAATTGAAATAATATTAGCAGCACAAGAAAAGAAAGGTATACGATCACTTCGTAACTAATCATTCATAATATCAAATAGAAGGCAAGGTGCAAAGATGGGAAACGACTTGTTTGGCACTTTGACAGATCAGTTGGGGATTTTTGAGCACTGGTCAATTTGGGGCACAACATACGGTTTAACTTGTCTGCAACTTGAGGGGCCAAGGTGTAGACTCCAGGATTTAGTCACTGTAAGGTGGATACCTGGATATAAAAAAAAAAATAATAATAATAAATCATTCTTATAAAATATTGAGATGTAGATTTTATATACTCTTTTATACTTCGGGTTAAAGTTGGCAATTTAATGCAGACTCCATCCATTCAAGGAAAATTATCATTGTACAACTATAAATGAGAAAAAAAAAAAGTTTTAATATGTAAGGATAAAGGTTACTTGGGGATCAAAATATGATGATTTTATTCCACGTATCTTCAAAAGGAAAGCCTAGTGGAATTCTATCAGGCATAGAGTAATAGGATGTGTACTAGTTGAAGAAAGACATGAAAGAAAGACTTATTCTTTAGTTCTTGTGAAGTGTCGTTTCGTAATTGGAAAGTCAAGAAATCAGACGAATATAGCCAAAAATGGTACACACTTCATTCAATAATTTTGTAAGGCTCCAACTCAATAGTTCAATAACTTGTGATAACAAAGCATATCACTAAGGAAAAACTATTCGCATCTATCGGCAGAAACCATGTCGAAGAAAGACTTACCGTCGATACAATTCGCATCTATCGATAGAAATCATGTTGAAGAAAGACTTGCCATCGAAACAATGTTGTACGTTTGTTTATCTTTTTGAATGATTAGTGACATAATTATATAAATGAACACTAATTCTTTTGACTTTAAATATGATAATTATATACTTCCATTTATTTTTTCCCCCAATAACTTAGTTAAAATATATATGCCTTTTTAGGACAATCTTGCGGCGTGCTTTCTCCACGAGCTCAAAGGACCCGCCATCACTTCATATGTTGAGCATCATATCATTGCAAATTATTTCAAGTTTGTGCATCCTTACATCATCCATTACCGTTTTTTTGATAACTTTCCTGTTGTTTACCATGCACGAACAATAATTTTATGAGGATTCCTTTTCGATTTATGAATTTGCTCCATCTGTAGTTCCTCGAACCACATTTCCTCAATCAACAAGAGCCTGTTGGAATTGATCTTGTCACATTAATAGTTTTTTAAAATAATTTTAATTTTGCTTTTTTAAAATTATAGTTTCAACACGTTCAATTTTATTTTCATTTTCAATTTGTCCTCACTTGATGTAATTTTAAGGGAAAAAAAATAATGTTAGTTGTTTGCATATATTATTGGTCATATTTTACTATCATTATTTTCAAATTTATTAATCAAAATTAATTTGTTACGCAAGAAAAATTTTTAGTATAGAAGAAAATCTTCTTTGTTTTCTCACCTTAATATACAAGTAGGTCTTCCAAGTTTCATTTCATTCAAAAATCAAAACGAAGATTTCATGTTAAAGAGCATAGTTATATTTCGTTGGCACATCGTTCTAATACTTTCTATACCAAGGCCACCACCATACAAGAGAGCACGCCTTCACCCTTTTACCTGATATGGTGAAAAATGTTGTTAATTTTGTTTCAGTCTAGTTTCAAAATTGAGCTTCAATGACGAGCAAAATTGAGTTTAAGCTCAAAGTCAAGCTTGCAGTGATTTGACACAAACTTGGCCGATATCATGTTTGATTAGTAGAGTCAAATCTTGAATTGAATTTGAGATGAAACTCAACTAACTGATTATATGGTAGTAACATTTGAATTACAAAGATAAGAACAAACTTGTCTTAGACCATCACATGAAATATTTGAGTCATATTGATATATGTGATTGGCTGGAATTGTAATGCAGGCGTAACCATTCTCAATGCCAGAATTATAAAGATAATAACAAAATTTTTGAGGTTGAATCAACCAGTTTCGAGGTTATTTTAATGGAATGGACTCCATATTTTCCCTTTTTTCATTTTTTTTAACATAAAATTGAACTGACTTTTCGATTCTTCAATCAAATCACTTAGTCAGGTCCAATTCTTAAAACATTGATAATTTCTTAATTTATAGTACTTATAAACTTATAATAGTTCATTATCGTGTCATAACCATAAAGAAAAACTACAAGCCTCTGTTGAGAAAATTGGGTGATTTGTATGTAGATTTATTTATAAATTAACATAATCAATTAATTGATATAAACATAATTCAACAATAATATAAAAGTAAAAAGAGGGTTAGAAAGAAAATAAACCTTGGGTGTCACGTCAACAACACTGTCCTAAAGTCTTATTGCTTCCCCTTCGAGTGGGTTCTTTCGACAATACAAGGCTTCAAAATAAAACCCATGTGACTCCCTTCTATGCCATGACCATAGGGAGATAAGTGAACGAGCCTTTATCGAGATGCCAAAAGTATAATATAAAATTATAGACAAGATAATGCTTCAAGTGGTTCTCTCAAATTATTGAAATGACTCCCTTATATAGTGTAAAACTCCAACCCCCACAATAATGAGCACTATCCCAATTAACATATAAGTTATCATATAAATTATGGTTTTTCTATTTTATGTTAAAACTAAAAATTAATAGGTTTCAATTTTGAAATGTTGAAACTTATTTCAACTTACAACAACCCCCACATTTATACCACAAGTTATAATATATATGTTACACTATGATATTATTAATTTAATTTTGTTTTAAATTGACATAGAAACAACAAATTATGAATTTGAAAATTTAAAACTTAAATTATTTATTTTCCAACAATCCCCCATAAGTTTTAAATTTTCAAATGTTATAAAATGAGAGGAAAAGAGAATAGAGAAAACTCAAAGAGAATAGAGAAAATTCAATAAACTTTTTGTGTATATTATTGAAAACCAAAACCCTATATTTATAGGTAAGAATCAGAGATACAATGGTAATAATTTCTAGGGCTACAAGGGTACAAATGTCATTCACCAATAAACTTTAATGGACTTTCCATTTACAACACTCCCCCTTGAATGACATATTACAAAATATCTGTCTCGTTAAAATCTTGTTTGATAAAAATTCAATGGGAAAAAAAAATCAAACGAAGGAAAAAGAATATAATTATTTTGGAGTATTAAAATTAAATGCTGCCTCATTAAAACCTTGCTAGGAAAACCCAATGGGACAAAACTTAAGCGAAGAAAAAAGAGTACAGCTACTCCCCC